CCCAGTTGCCGCGGCTACTCTGGCAACCACTCGACCACCACCATCACCCGCGGGCACGCTGCGCGCGAGATAGACGCAGCCGTCATAGGGCCCCCCACCGCTGACACTTTCCTATCGCCTCTGTTCTCGAACCCCCCCCCTTCGCACTGGTGTTTCAAACCAATCCTAATGCCACATGAATTGCCTCCTGAAATCATATTAAAGCAGAACCACAGCCCCTCTCCCCTTACATACGCCCGCTCTCCAAAGACTGGTTTCACACTGCGTGCTGGTTGAGCTTGTATTTTTCCCTTGTATAGAGTCAGGCGATTTGGCGGACTCCCTTTATTCTTCACTGTGTGTATCCATTGTTGAGGGTTGTACTTTATTCACCTTTTACTAGTTTGCTTAATAGCCGTGCTGCCTTGACAGTTGTTTGACGTACGCGTGACTGCTGAATACAGAGTCAGAGAAGTCAAGGAAGACGAAACAACTTTAAAAACTAGAAGACAATAATAGCATTACCAAATGATCAAAGAACCTGGAATTCAAGTTCTAAGTCATCCAGACTTCGGGTTAGACTGGACTGGCTGACAATTGCTAAGAAGCGAGAAATAGACATTCCAATGAACTTAATTCTTGTTGGTAATCTTTTTCTACAGGTAGATTTATGAGTTTTACAATTTCGGATGATTTAGACTTTGTACGAAGTAAAATCTTAGAAAAGATTTAGAAGGTCCAGTCGGATTGGTTTTGTGAAAAAATTGAGTTGGATACTGTCGGCTCCTGACGAGTAATTATCTAATGTAGAAAGTTTATTTACTTGCGCAAAAAAATGGTTTCACCGAGGTGCTATCTCTAGAAACTGGCCCACCTACATCGTCAGATGTATGAGGTTGCATAAGGCTCAGCCTAGAAGTCTGTACACAATCGCTAACATTTTAAACAAAAATCCAGGAGCAGCATGGCAAGCGGCTTACCGGATTAAAAATAAAGGCACCCCCACGTTCGTCGATAAAGGCTACCAGAGTGCCAGCCTTGTTGGCGAAGATGGACTGGATAAGATTTATGTGCTTGTACTCATTTATGACAACCCAGGCATCCAAAAGAAAGTGAACCAACGCACCCGCCTGAAATCCGGATAAAACAATCGTTTAGAAATTAACGGAAGCGGAAGAAGAATGTTTTAATGAAGACTCATTAGGAGAAAAAAACCAAAATTAAAATGCATGTATGGTGAGATGAGCAAGTAAAAATAAAAGTACATGCAATGTATATGGTAAAGGGCATGAGGCGATTGGCGCAGAACAGGATTCTTGAATTGGACATGAGATTGGCGGGCTTAAGCGGCATTAGTTGATGCACAAGCATGGTGGCTTAGTGTGAATTCAGTTATGATCATCCTAGAATCCTGGAAATTTCAGAGAGATAGTAGCTTAAAGAGGCACTTGAACCCTGCATTGAAAGCATTTCGGCAGACCCAGGCGAGTTTACTAACCAAATGCCCGTTGCTTCAATACGCTTGTTAAGCGTTCGTACCTACTGTTCAGGTAGTCGAGGGCTAACCAAACCTTCAGACATTTCAGTAGGAGTAACCTCTTTTGCGAAATCCTCGGTGGTCTCTTTGTATACTGATAAGCCTATATTTGGCCGTGCCGAAAGGGATGCTCTCTATCTATAAGTTTGAAAGGTGTGTTCAGCCTATGTCTCATAGGATCACTGAAAAGTGGTCTACTTTCTTAGATTTACAAACGAATTCGATAGGT